GGGAACATAGGCAGTGGCTAGCTGATGCTAACAACAGGTAATAGTAATGACCATCTTGATCACTGTGTGGTCTTTTGGCCAATATCACTCTCCAGTTCATTTCTAGCCACAACATCACTCATTAGTTCGAAACTCCTGGTAGTTTACGACAAGCCAGTCGAGTCGTCGCTAGATTTTTTTGTCAACCACTTACCTTATTTCATGGTCGCAAAAAAATTTTGAAGAATCTTAGTAATTTCTACTGAAGTCTCTTTCCCCTATGCAGGTGGATTTTTATTGCTTCAATTAGTGAAATTATGTGCCGCTGCGAAAGTGACCTTGATAAGAGTAATTTAGAATAAAAGAACTCATGAATGTCGTGGATGAGAAGGAACGTTTCATCGACAACTTGAAGGGAGACAATGAAAAGTTACTGCAGGAGCTAGAAGATATTAAGAGCCGGGCAACTGCAGGAGTTGACGAAAAGCTGCGCGAAAATGATGAGCTACGCAAGAATCTGGAGCAGGTGCTCAGCGAACTAAACAACCTGAAGGACGCGACGGCTCCAAAGGTCCGCGCTAACTTTGATTCTGTTTTGTTCAAATTATATGCTCATTTCCCCCTAGTTTTTAGTGTTTCTTACTGGAGTTATTCAGCATTCTTTCAAGGCAGAAATTTGTTTTCTACCATCTATTTTGCACTGGCATCTACAGACTTTGTAATTCATTACCTAGTTATAGGCAGAGTATGAAGAGCTAAAGGGGAAACTAGTGCAACTTGAAGAGGCCAGCGTTGGATCACCTTCAGCTGAACAATTCGCGTAAGTTTATCATGATGCAGTTATGTCAAATCCTTCAGTTTTGAGCTTAGTGCTTACTGCATTTTCGACACACATCTCTGCCCGAATAGTTCTCTTCCTGGTATTCTTAAATCCTGACATTTCTAGATTTACAGTGCCACATCTATTTTTACCCTTAATTTGAATGAATCCTATGTTAGATTTTGCAAAATTTTTGAAAAAGATTAAGTTGGTAAAGAATCCTATTAAAGGAAAAGGATAAAAGTGTATTGTGCAAGGCCCTCTTTTTTCACGCCGTTTTCGATGAATCTGTCGGAACACTGATCTGTCATATTTTAGTAACCTGCAATCGGAACTCGAAAACATTCGTAAAAAAGCAGAAGAGGAGCAAGGGGTCATTGAGAATCTGGAGAAGCAGAAGAATGACTTGGAATGGAGCCTTGGCGAGCATCGCCAGTGGCTTCAGGATACCAAAAACTGGTAACTTATTGTGAGACATTAATAGCTGTAAAATGACAGATTAAGAACTCACAAATAACAGGCAGTAGATGA